GACCGTGGTGTCCTGGCTCCTGTCTGGCCGAGGTGGCCGCCCCGTGCACCTCCTGAGCTCCTGAGCACCTGCGCCAAGAGGCGGCGGAGGCTGCACTTGCCACGTCGGCCTCCAGGTGGCGCCAGGCCGAGTTCGGCAGCCGGCGGGCGGGAGTTCATGGACTGTTCGCGTGCACACCGTGCTTTCTCGCGATGTTTGCGCCCTGAAGCGGGCTCCCGTTTGACAGACCCTAGCCGACCCAGTCCGCGTTCACTCCTCTCTCCTGTCCCTTCATGGTGTTGTTTTTTGGCGGCAGGGAGGAGCGGGAAGACGTGGGCCGGGCCGCTCTCCCTGCGGCGGAGGCCCCGTGCGCGGGCTAAGGCCGCACCGCGCGCAGGAGCGCGCAAGATGGCGCCCGCGGCTCGCCTCAGGACGCGCTGCGGCCCGGGTGGAGCTGACAGCATTCAGGAAGGCCCATGGGTGCTGGGCGAGAATTTACACATACATGCTATTAGGGACAGATGAATGAATCATGAATGACAGCAAACAAGAATATGAAATTTCAAAAAAATATGGAAGTCCATCATCCATCAGTCTTTTGTTTTTCCGCCAAGAATTAAACAATTGTTGAAGAAAACATAAAATGCCAACTCACCTGCACTATACTCCTTTTGCTTGCAGATGCGTCGATCTGTTTTATGTCTCCTCTTCGTCTAGATTTTACTTACTTCTAGTGGAAAGGTTAGATTTACAGACAGAAGGAGAAACAAAGATCTTTCATCCTTTGGTCCACTCCCTAAGTGGCCACAACGGCTGGAGCTGAGCTGATCCAAAACCAGGAGCCAGGAGCTTCTGGGTCTCCCATGCAGGATGCATAGTCCCAAGGACTTGGGCCATCCTGCACTCCGGTCCCAGGCCAAAGCAGCCAAGACATGAACCTGCACCCATATGGGATCCAGGTGATTGCAAATTGAGGGTTTAGGCAATGAACCATCTCACCGGGCCCATCTCTTTCTTTCTGAAATGCAGAGTGTAACACTGAGAAATAGACTGGGTGGGTGGGATACCAGCTCTTTCTCTCACTGTGAGGATGAAAATGATAGCTGAATGCTCTTTGAAGATGGAAACATTTCGTAGCTTGCTTCTTACCCTCTGTGATAGCATTTATACTGTCAGCTTGCTTTCTGCTTCCTGTGGGATTCTGGCATTCCCTTTGTGGCCTGCTAGAGCATACCTGTGAGTTGAAAATGGTGTCATTTTCAAAATAAACACAGAGGGGCCATAGAACTTTCCCTCCGTGCCCCACAGCAAGACGTGTTCCCGGTTGTGGGTGTTTCTGGCTGTCAGTTGACTTGGACATAACTAGAATGACCCACAAGCCTTTGTGGTGTTAAGGTGCTGAAGTTGGGGAGTTGCATGTCAGCATTACTTAGCCTAAATTACACTTGACTAGAGCAGGTGTCATGCTGGACAGAGTGAAATGTCACACAGCTGTTATCTGTGACTTCCTTACATTGTCTTTGCTTTTCTGCCATGGCCCTCTTTCTCAGAAGCCACACATTTTTGGGGTAATAAGGAAAAAACAAGATCTTTAAATGAAAACAGTTGCCAATTTTGCCACTTCCTTCTACAGTTGGGTGTTCAGAACACTAACATATTTTAATACCTGCTTTACTCCTGACTCCCATGCCTATAAAATAAGGGAAGAGACAAGAGCTTCGCTTTTAAAATCTGGTTTGTAGTTCCTTTGTCTTGTGGGTACTGCCAAAAAGATTTTATTCCTAGGTCATGGCATCATGATTCGAGACAGATGGAAACTAAGCCTTTCTTTAAAAAACAGTGGGAAGGGTGAGTGGGAAAGCCAGCATGCTCTCAGCAGACCAGTATTCTGCAGGAGTACACATGGACATTTGTGAGCAGTTTGATCCCCTTAAGCTGTTGCCGATCCTGTCTCATGGGACTTAGCGTCAGCCCTTGCCAGAGGAGAGCCTGCAGTGAACATTTTAGAAATTCTTGTACATCCTCATCATCATTTCCATTAGACTTCTCCATGAAACATAATCATCTGGCAGGTCGTCGGACATGTTAGGAAAATCCATCGCCACTCACTTCCTTAAGTCTTTCTAATCCCTTTGTTCACCATGTTGCATGGCCATAGTCATTTCAGCTTTGCTTGATATTGATAACTTTCTCCATGTTTCTAGAAGTCATCCTGGTAATAAGTTGGCACTAACTCTAGCATCTTTGCTGTGTTGTTTAATCCTGTATCTCATGGGAAAACTCCAAGTCATTAAACTTTTTGTTCTCCGATTTTATGTGTGGTTCTCTTGAACAAATATGGTCAGAAATCATTCATTTTTATGTAAAAAACAAAAGCAACCTAATTCTTGTTTTAAAAATATTTTTTACTTACTTGAAAGGCAGGTATGGCCATGTATGATAATACTCTTAGAGAACAGATGGTGGCTGAATGAATCTGTTGTTCATGAGCTTGGCTTGCAGCTCACCTTCTCTTGGGGATTGCTGCAAAACTTCTAGTAACTAGAAGTAACTAGAAGCTGCTATGAAGTAAGTGTTCCTGCAGCATCCCATGCTGTTTCCTAGAGAGAGAAGGAATAGGTGCTACGCAGATAGCCACGTATAGCAGATGCCTGTGTCCCCTCTGAAGTGGTACTCATGAGGAAGCTAACTTGTTAGGGCATGACTGACAGTGGTACTGAAAGTTTTATCTCTGGGAAATCCTGAGAGCAGCACCAATGGCTTATTGTGGCATCAAGAAAATGGGGTCATCTTGTGGCATATAAATTCCCCAAAACTGGACTGTCCTGTGCCAGAATCTAAGAGAGTGCTGGAGCATGGGCTAAGGGGAGCGCTGGGGCATGCAGTGGCAGTAGTCCCAGCTGTCAGATCCTGGAACCCTGCTAAGGGTGGAAACTGGGCTTAAAATTCTTTGAACTGTGTAATTCCCAAGAAGCCTTAGAGGAACCAAGGAGAGGGAAGAAACCCCTAGGGGATGACTTCATACTTCCTGACAATCTTCTTTGAAGGGCATGAGCTGATTGTTTCAGTTTAGAAAAATAAGAGATGTGATCATATATGCACCCCAAACATTGAATGGCAGTTTTTAGAAGTCATACATAAAAGTCTCTTCTTCCTAAGTACTGTTGGTATGAAGTTGAGGACAATCACACTTAATCAAGCTGTAGAACATAATCACAGAAAGAATATGCTGTGCAAGGGCCAGTGATTATAAATACTGCAACATAACTAAATTTCCTTCAGTTTCCAGTCAGGATTTTTTTTTCCTCTTGTGAATGCATCACTAGTCAAAAATGAGCAGGAACATGGCTGTGGTTGAACAGCTGGGCTTGTTACTGCTGCAGTGTGGGAGAACACAGATCCCTGGGGAGTGTGGAGCTCTGTGCGGGAGATGGCTTAGCTGAGGAGTGCCACCTTTCTCCATCTTCCAGCAAAATCCCTGCTGCCCACAGGAGGCTTAGCCTTCAGCACCAACCCCGCCTCGTGAGTACAGGGGTGCCCAAGGAACTCAACCCATCATAGTTTTCCTTTCATTGGGAGAGGAGGTGATTTTCTTTTATTTTTTTCCTGTGGGATACTTTCTGAGAGTTTGGGTGGAACACAGCACAGGCCATTGAGGAGTGGCAAAGTGGGGACACCTATCTGCCGACATCCATTCCTTACTGGTGCTCAGATCCATCCTCAACTCCCGAGCTCTCCTGGCTTGTCCTGGGTGCCAGCTCATGCTGCAGAGGAAACTGTGGACTCACACACCTAGAGCCTCTCACAGTGACCTCTAGGGCTACAGAGGAGATGTGGGGCTGACCACTGGTGCACACTGCCCACGAGAAGCAGCAGGGTACATCCCAGTGACCACTCTGAGATTCCCACTCCTCAGCTGGGGGATGGAGGGGGACAACTATGGTGACATTTTCATCCTTGCCCCTCTCCACACCTGTAAAACGTGTGTGAAGAATCAAGTCAATCAGTGCATTTGTATTTATGTCTGAAACCAAGTGGATTTAGTGGTTCCAGATCAACAAAAGTGTTCACTTTCTTCCCATGGTTCCCCTGTCCCCAGATAGAGTAAACCACCAGCAACCATCCCCTGCCCTCATAGACAGGCTTTTCCAAAGGTGGAAGACATTGAGCAAAGAAGGGACCTAGAGTTATGTGGGCCCTGTCTCAACAGGCAAGTGATTCCTCAGTGTATTTCCCATACTAGGTTTTGTAACACTAGTGAGGAGAAAGGCAGGGGTGAGTGAAGGCAGAGGTCATCTGATCCTTGTGGGGAAACTGGAGGAGGGGAATCCACCTGGAGCAGGCATGGCATGGCACCAGGACTTGACCAGACCAATCCAAGGCTTGGGAAATAGCTGGGGAGGCTGCATATGGAGGACTCCACGGACCTAGTTTCAACACAGCAATAAGCCAGATATAAGGTCAGACTGAAATCATATCGATTGGAATATTAATTTAATGAAGTCAATTACATTAGCAATAAAGTACATTCAAGAAATCATTGTGACAGAGGTAAAATCATGGGGAAATCTGAAATATGTGCACAAAATGATTCTTTTCAACTCAGCTCCTTCTGCCTTTGTGCCACCAGGGTGCGCCCTTTCAGTTTTTACATGAGCTGCTGAACAGCAGCAGAAAAATATTTTTGTCTCCAAACTGCAGCCCAGGTAGCAGAGCAGTGCGTCTTCACACTATTAGGCAATCATTCAGAAAACTGTGGGGGCAAAGTCAGTCTCTGGTCCTGAGAATGTTCTGGTCCTCCCCAACACTTGCGCCCGCACTGCCAGCCCGGAGACCTGGCTTCAGGTAATCAGGGAAGCAAGAGCTCAGTCCTGTCTGCTCCAGGGCTGGCCTGGGATGTGGGCAGGCCCTTGGGGAGAGTATGCGACACCTCCAATGAAACAAGACTGATACACCATTTCGCATCCCCTGGGACCCCTCTGTGTCTGCCCAACACCTGCAGAAGCGTTCCCTGTCAGTGACTGACAGGGAAGAGTTGTGGAGTTGCTGCTATCCTGAACACAGAGCTGTGGGGGCTTTCACCCGCACAGTCCCCGGGGAGTCATCTGGAGGCTCTAGTCCCTCTTTGCTCCCTTAGTCCCCGCTGATGTCCAGCTAAGAGGCTCCCTCCCTTTTTCTCGGTCTCCTTTACTCTGGTTCACTAGATCTTTTTGTGTCTGAATCTCTTGTAAAATTGTAGAAATTATTTTTTATCTAGTTCTCAAAAACACTGGTTTTCAAAGCCATGATATCAAATATCATGGCTAGATTTGACTTCCAAATTTTTAAAGATATCTTTAAATGTCAGCTCCAATCCCCTTTGAGTATCAAATGTGTAAAATAATTTCAATTAAAATCAGGCTGCTTATTTGCTCTGTTTAAGAGTTATAGGCCATATGGCCCAGAGGGCTGTCATTCAGCTACAGGACAGGTGTGCCCAAGCTCCACTCCAGTGGGGACGGACTGCGGATGGTTCTCCTGCTCTCCCTGGCACTTGTGGTGGTCCCCTTCTTGTAGCATGTCTTCTTTTTGTTCATGGAGCTTCAGCTCTTCTTTTAAATGGGAGTCTTTAGGCAGTTTGAGAGTTTCATACCTTTCATAATCAGAAGACAAAGAGATGCCGACATCCTCCTTTTTCATTCTTTGCAGTTTGTTATGTATTGTCGCACAGAGGACAGTGCTCACCAAAAACATTACTCCCGTGGCGAGATAGAAAAAGACATGAAGCCAGAAAGGATTTGACAACTGGGGGCCTAAAACAGGAAAAGACAAAGAGAAGAGCTACTACTTGGAAATCCGAGGGAAGAGAAGGTGAGCTGGGCCCTGATGTGCCCACCCATCACCGAGGCCCTGGGCATTTCTGGGAGCCCGAAGGAGCTACAGCTGAGCTGTAGGTTACACATGTGGGGCAGGCCATTGGGAACTTTGTTGCTGGGACCAGGCCATAGAACTCAGTCCCTGCCTTCAGAGATGACTACCCTCGCTATGGTACTCAATGATTGAAATGAATTTGAGTTAAAAATTAACCGTTTGTTTTTGGTGCTAACAAGACGTAGGCCTTGGTAAGGTGGAGACACCTGGGTAGGTAGTTATATGTAATCCCTACAACCACTCTCTGTAAATCTACCCTGTGAATACCTGAAACCGAAAATTTCCCCAGATCCGTGACGATAGATGCAAAAACACACAGCATACTGTTGGAGCAATTGTTGGTGAAGGAAAAGGAGGGAAAACAGGAAGGCATGGGTGGGGGGTGCGGGAAGGGAGACAGTGGGGCTGTGGGGGAGATGGAAGGTGAGAGGTAAGCATAGAGCCATGGGGAGGGAGAACAGAAAATAAAGAAGAAAAGGAGGAATAAAGGAAAGACAAGAGGAAGGAAAGGAAAGGAAGGAAAATGTCATGGGGAGAAGGGCAAAGCCCTGAATCAAGGATGGGAAGCCTAGCTGTGAGCTTTTCTTGGAGAGCGTCTCTCCTCCCACCTGCACCCTGAAGCTCCCCAGATCCACGGGAGGAGACGGCCTGCCTTCTCCTGAGCTGAGGCTCTCAGGGTCATTACTCACCAACCACTTGCACCTGCAAGGCAGGGCTGTGCTTCACGATTCTTTCATCCTCTGTGGCTGCCTCGCACCAGTAGGCGCCAGAATCCTCCTGCCCAGCCTTTGGGATCTGGTATTCTGAGGACGCGTTCCTGTCCTGCAGGGTCTTGTTGCCCACGTAGAAAGAGAAGACAAGGCTCAAAGCAGGCTGCCCGGGGACCAACTTGGTTTCACAGCTCAGCGTCAGCGGACTCCCCTCCAGGATGGGGAATGGCAGGGATGCCCTCAGCACCGGAACTGGGAACAGCTCTACAGAGACAGTGGGTGGGGAGAGAGGTAAGTGGGACACTGGAAGCCACAGCACCCTTGAGAGCCAGGCGGACAATAATAGGAGCAGTTTCTAGTGTCTTTCCTGTTTCTGTCTCAATGGATCTTATGTCAGACCTAAATTATTCTCCTAGCCATGTTGAGTTTCTGTTCCTTGCTGCTACAATAAAATGGGTGAAAGGGATCTCGACTTTGTAGAGACAAAACTTCTACCCACCCCTCCACTTTTATAAATCTATACTTTGTGTCTCTATCTCTTCTTTATGTCTAATTGCTTGTCATTCCCTCGTCACCCCGGTGCACGCCATGTGGATTGCAGCACTTACAAATGCAGTAGCATGAGTACTCAGACACAGTACCTTGCACCGTGATGGACACGGTTGCTGATGTGTAACGATGCGTTCCCATGGCTGAACAGTAGTAAGTGCCGTTATGACTCATGTTGACATTTGGAATGGTGAGTTCAGATGGCTGAGGAAGAAACTTAAAAGTTCTGTCATTTTGATAAAAAAGCAAATTGTGTATCCGCTTATTCTCCCATGCGTGACATCTCAAGGTCAGAGAATTCCCTTCAGTGAAGACTCTGCCAGAGACCTGGAGCAGCAACCAATCTGAAAACACAAAATATAGTGAGTCCAGTGGAGCAGGTGCAAGGAGGCCAAAGCTACGTCCAGGGGCTTTCTTACTTTTCTTCCCTTGCAACATTCAAACTCAGAACTCCATTGAATCTCCAGCCTTCAAATATTCTCCAAATATTTACTAGCAGTTGAACACCAGCACCGCCCCCCTTCCCTTCTCACATCTCGGAAGTTGTTTGGGACAGGTCATGTGTAAGCAGAACTCTAGGACGCCCACCCCCAGAGGACCACACCTTCATACATTCTCTTAGGTGAGTGTGGATTCAGTGCCTTGCTTCTAGACAACCAAATGCAACAAAGGAGATGGTGTGTGTTTATGTGTATGGGTGGGCGGGGGGTCCCTCTTAAATAAGCCTCTGCCTAGCACATTGGCTAGAAAGATCTCCTGTTGGCTTTGAAGAAAGAAGTTGACACGTTGTCGGAGCATCCGTGAGGAGACCACATGGCAGAGGCCTCTAGGTGCTGGGAGTGGCTCCCACTTCAGTCAGCAATACAGCGGAGACCTCTGTCTTATAAGAAGCTGAATTTGTCCAATAATCTCTGCAAGATCCACTCAAAGAACATAGTTTAGTCAGCACCCTGACACAAGCCTCGACGACCCTGAGCTAAGTCACACTGTGCCTGAACTCCTGCCCTTGGAAACGACGACATAGATGTAAGCTGTTTGAAGTTGCAAAGGTTTTCGCTATCTGTTATGCTGTTATAAATTATCAAAATGCAATAATCCTTGTTAAAATTGCTAGCAGAATTAGCTGTCCTAAGGCAAACACACAGAATAGCAAGCATGTCCAGATGCATAGCACCTGCTATTGACAGGAATGCCTCATCTATGCAGACCAGTGACAGACCAGCCGCCAGAACAAGCTGCTACTGAAAGGGCCCTTTTCTTTGGATGCACATCTCTGTTCATAACCAAAAATGTTTCCTTCTTCAGAGACAGCTGGTTTGGCTAAAGAAAGATGGGGTGGCTAGGGGAACAAAGGAGAAGAAGAAACAATATAGCCTCCTCGTCTGTCTTGCAGAATTTAAGAATGGGGCAGGGTGGGCAGCGTGGTAGCCTAGCAGCTAAATTCCTTGCCTCAAATGTGCTGGGATCCCATATGGATGCCAAGTCGAATCCCAGCAGCCCTGCTTCCCATCCAGCTCTCTGCTTGTGGCCTGGCAAAGCAGTCGAGGACGGCCCAAAGCCTTGGGAGACTTGGAAGAGGCTCCCGGCTCCTGGCTTCAGATTGCCTCAGCTCTGGCTGTTGTGCTCACTTGGGGAGTGAATCATCGGATGGAAGATCTTCCTCTCTGTTTCCTCTCTCTGTATATCTTTCCAAAATCTTTTAAAATAAATAAATAAATAATAATAATAATAAATAAATCTTAGAAAAGAATGGAGGGCAGGGACCAGCGTGATGGCTCAATTAATTATTTCTCCTTTTGCAAACGATATGATTCCATATGAGCAGTGGTTCACGTCTGAGCTGTTCCACTTCCCATCAAGCTTTCTGCTTGTAGCCTGGGAAAGCAGTCGAGGACAGACCAAAGCCTTGGGACCCTGCACCCACATGTGGGAGACCTGGAAGAAGCTCCCGGCTTCAGGTCGGCTCAGCTTTGGTTGTTGCAGCCATTTGGAGAATGAAGCAGCAGATGGAAGATATTTCTCTGTCTTTCTCTTTGGAAATATGCCTGTTCAATTTTGAAAAATGGAGGGCAGGTGCTTCGCTGCTATACACAGCATGAATTAACAGCCTTTTATATTGCCATGGTGTTTCTACACAATGAGTACTCTCCCCTCTCTTATTCTCATCCACAGATGCTCAAACACTTCCAGAATACACAGTTATCTGTTTCCTAAATCCCTAGCATGTCGGGACATTAAGTGTCTCCATCAGACACTCTCACCATGAATAATAGAAAATACTTGAACAACACAGTGAATAGAATTCAACTTGTGGAATGCAGCACCTTTGAGGGAATTCATATGCTTTCTTTTTCTAAAGGAGTTTTATTATATTTATTATTTATTTGAAAGCCAGAGAGAGAGAAGGACACAGTGCTTCCATCCAATGATTCCCTTTCCAAATACTGCTGCAGCAGCCAGAGCTGGGCCAGACTGAGATGCAAGTAGTAGCATGTATTTCTACCCTAAGTTTCTTCTAAAAAACCATGCTCTCTGAACAGGAAGGGAAACTCATTCTAGACCTTGTGATGGGGCTGTGGAGCCACTCCCAGTTGTATTTTCTTGGTCTCAGCATTTCCAGATTGAAGTGGCTGATAGTCAATGTAACTGCAGCTGAATCCTCCCCTGCTAAACTGTGGCAAAATGCTTTTTTTTCTTTTTTCTTTTATTTCATTCCTTTCAGCAAAATACTTTTCAATTAGGGCACAGAGAGAGCTAACCAGAAGCTTGATATAGTACATATTAGTAAAATAGAGAACTTTTGGTAGGTGAAAAACAAGCAAAGAATTCACAATATGATGGTGAAAGGCAGGTCACATGGTAGGAGGAGGTGTTACTAACACTGGGAAAAGGATGCATATCCAGAAATTGCAAAAGTGAGTAAGAAAAAGACAAATAACAGGACAAATTGGCAGAAAGACCCGGTCATGGACATACAAAAGAGGCTACTAAAATAGGTCCAAAAAAGTCTAAGAAATAATAGCAGCTAGAGAAATGCAAATTAAAACTACAGTGTGACACTACTCTATACCCACTAGAAGAGCAAAAATAAAAATACAGATATCATTGAAGATTGATGAAGATGAAAAGGAATCAAAACCCGTACTCTGGGTCTGGCGCGGTGGCGCAGTGGTTAAGGTCCTCACCTTGCACGCCCGGGATCCCATATGGGTTTTGGTTCTATCCCGGCAGCCCCGCTTCCCTTCCAGCTCCCTGCCTGTGGCCTGGGAAAGCAGCAGAGGACAGCCCAAAGCTTTGGGACCCTGCACTCGCGTGGGAGACCCGGAAGAGGCTCCTGGCTTCGGATCGGCATAGCATCGACCGTTGCGCTCACTTGGGGAGTGAATCATCGGACGGAAGATCTTCCTCTCTGTCTCTCCTCCTCTCTGTATATCCGCCTTTCCAGTAAAAATAAAAAAATAAACCTTAGAAAAAACCCCATACTCTGTGGACATGTAAAGTGGCACAACTACTTTGAAAAAGGTGCCTGGCAGTATCCATGAACACAGAATATATGCATACCTTGTGACTCTAAAAATTCTACAAATTCATAGCCATAAACCACCCTCCTGAAGACTTCTAAATAATTTGTGAGTTACAATTAAGACTCCTAGGCATCTTCCAATAGGTGCATATCCATATGTGCACCAAAACATGGGTGAAAAATATGACATTTTTCATCAGCACCATTAGTAACAGGCAGAAATTGGAAACACCCCAAGAGTCTATTGGTAGAATGGAAAAATCTAGAATATTAAACAGCAACAAGAACAAAAAGGACTTTAATCATACACACAAACTTCATCATCACAATAAAAAAAGCACTTGTCAGCCAGCAATGTGTAGGCAAACACACGTGATTTAGAGTTTACTGGTGTCTAACAACAGCGGAAAATGGGTCTTGGGTCCTGGAAGTGTTGTACTTCCTGCTTGGGGTGCTGTAGTGAGAGGTACACTCTGGGCTTGCCATGTGTAAGTTATGCTTCAATCAGGATTTCCACTAAACAGAACATCAGAAAGGTACCATTCTTAATGAGTCGTCAGTATTAACAGTCCTAGAGTCTGTGGCAAGGTAAAAACAAAACAACAACAAAAACGGCCTCCTTCCAGCTCTGTTCCATTTCCTGTCACTTGTGCTGTGCAGCACTTCCCTCTGCTCAGAGGGTGTTGAGTCTCTGGTGAGCACCGCTCTGTCAGCTCCCCTCCCTCTCCGTCCCACTGCTCAGAGTCAGAAGGAACACACAGCGAACCTGCTGCCTCTCTCAAACAGCCTCAACATCGCCTTAGCTAAAACACATCTCCTCCAGGGCAACCAAGTCTGCGTAAGTGAGATTCTGCCTCCAGTGAGGATGAGCTGCTCCATTAGCAACGGCAAAGGAGTGTAGGCCGTTGCGTTTGAATAATTAAATAACAGATTTGAGTATTTGACCTTGAGCAAAAAAAACACATTTTTCCCTGAAGAATATTTCAGTCTCCATTACTTGACAAATAAAACTACATACAGATCTCAGTGCCTGATAACATTTCATTTGTTTTCTTTTCCTCCCACTGGCTCACAGTAATTCCATGCCCAGGGCATTAGGAAATGTTCCTAAGACTACACGCACAGAAATGGAAAACTTGGAGGTTTTCTAACAGGCAGGCTTATGGTGCAGCTACAGGTGACGCCTTCAGAAAGCTCATGAATCATTTGTATTAACTTTTAATTCTATTTCTCAACGAGTGTCTTAAAACCTCATACAGCAGACATTTAAAACACACCTCTATGGATATAAACAGACTTTCTTTTCATGTAATCAACTGTAACACAAAGCACAGAATATATGCTACAAACCAGTTTTTCAAAAGTTTAAGTTTGCTTGTGGCAAGTGATTGCAGCACCAGGCTTTGGGGTGAGAGGGAGAATTTTCTGTTCACTGTGCATTTGCCTGAATTGCTGCTATTGTCTACAGGAGCACATTTTGATTAATGATACAATTGTAGGTCCTGAGGTTTGCTCTAGATGCTTCATTCACATCTGACCCAGCTGAGGCTCGTGACATTATGAATGCATTGGTTTTATTTTATCTGATAGGCACATGGCGTTAATGCGTTCGCACCCGCATTCAGCACGGACAAAACGAAGGAAGAGCTTGTAATTCCAGATCCTACCCCATGCCTCTCTTACCTCTGTGCACGCCCAGCTGCACCGGCTCGCTTGGTACAGAGAGTCCCGTCTGGCAAGTGTATTCCCCAGTGTCATTGGCAAGGGCATTCGTGATGCTGTGGCTGGGGGACGAGGTCTGAAGAGCTGTGCCGTTGAGGAACCACCGGGTGGCGCTGTCCCCAGGCGCACGCGGCCCCTCACACCTGAGAGTCACTGCTTCCTCTTGGAACACATCGACCCACGGGGGGTGCAAGGTGACCACTGCCTTCGTGGGGTCTGCTGGGCGAGAGATCAGAAGCAAAAGCCGACAAGGGGAGCGACAGGAAGGGCGCTGCAGTGCTGGTCTAGTTTGGTGGCCAGCAGGGGAGAGAATGAGCAGTCAGGGTCAGTGGAGAACCCGGGCAATGCATGCTGAGCCTGCTGCTGGGAGCTCTCCAGCCCTCAGTCTGGGTGCTAGGGCTCTGGGGTTCCCGCAGGCCCCCTTGCCGTCAGCCAGGGGACAGGATTTGGAGGTGGGCCCGGCTGGAGCCGCTTGTCTCAGCCTCCTGTCGTCCTGACCCGGTGGGCAGAGCACAGACCTCCACTAGTGTCCTCGTGGAGCCAGTTGAGATTCCTCCCTTGGCTCCTTCAGTACCTGCGTGGCTGGCTCCCAGGGGAAAAGCCAGCTTAAGGATTCTTGTAAAAGGAACAACGTGAAACATGTTGGAAAAGCCAGCAGAACTATTTCTATGGCTTTTGTTGGGTGTGTGTATGTGTATACTTTTGCGATTCAGGTACTTTGGGTGCTGGTGCGATGTTGCATCAGGCTCATTCCTGTAAGAGCCAATATCCCATAGGGACGTGACTTTATATCCCAGCTTTGGATCCAGCTCCCCGCTTCTGTCCTGGGATAGCACTGGAGGATGCCACAAGTCCTTGGGATCCTGCACTCATGCAGGAGACTCAGAGGAAACTTCAGAGCTGCTCAGCTTTGGTGCTGTGGCCATTTGGGGACTGAACTAGCACATGGAAAACTTCTCTATCTTTCCTTATCTATCTGTAAAATCTGCCTTCCAAATAAAAATAAATCAATCTTTAAATTCAGCCACTTTAGGACATTTATTCCTGAAGTCACAGCTCAGTCAGCACATGTTAGCAACTTACGTTAGGAATTAGGGTTTTATGCAACAACATCTGAATATGGACATTTTTACATCATCTGGAATCCTTCCCTTTTCTATCCTGATCCTCGTGCCGCAGGCTAAAGGGACCCACAAGGTAGGAAGGCAGCATCGGACAGGTAGGGTTAGACATCACTCACCCTGTTGCCCACCGACTGGAACTGCCAGAGACCAGAGAACAGAGATGTCAGCCAGTCAGCAGGAGACGACCAGGAAGGGAGAATTGGGGAGGCAGAATTAATGTCGGATCTGAGATGCCAGCTTGACTCTCTCAGGTTTCTCCCTGTGCTCCTCCTCCCAAATCAGTTGCCAGCAGAACAGGACGACCTCCAGGTGCTCAGTGACAGCTCGCTTTGATGTGAGGTTTCCTGCTGCAGTGCTGGTTTGGGGTCTTCCTTCCCATCCCTATCCCCACCAGTGACGCCTGCAACCACCGACACAGCCATCTCCTCGTTAGGAGTTCAGGCCGAACACACCAAAGGGACAAAACCTTGGCTCGGCTGAGCCAGACCAGGGCCCTTCCAGCCCCACTCGGAGCCCGACTTACCCCACAGGAGTAGGGCCAGCCAGAGCCACATGTTATCTCCCTGATGCGAGGGTAATGAACTCTGCAACACAGAATCAGTAAAGAGCTGTGTTAGGGGCTCTGGGTTCAAGGTTAGAAAAGAGGAAGGAAATAGCCACTTCTGAGCTCATCCACCACGTTCCTTTTCTGGGAAATGCATCCTTAGTTCTATTTCTCCCCCACCTCCCATCCCCCGCCTTTTTGGTGACAGAGTTACAAAGAGAGTAGGAGAGACAGAAAATTTCCATTCACTTTTTCACTCCCCAGATGACTGCAAGACAGAAGCTTCTTATAGGTCTCCCTTGTGGGTAGGTAAGGCCCAAACTCTTGGGGGTTCTTCTTTCCCAGATATGTTGGAGAAGGAGCAGCTGGAAACTGAACTGGTGCCCACGTGGGCTGCTGGTGTTTCAGTCACCCATTAGGTCACTACACTGCCCCCCACACCTAGCTCTTGGAGTGTGTTCTGCAGATTCTCAACCTCTCAGCTATCTCATCTCTCCCAGGTGAAGGCTCTGTATTTCCAAACTCAGGGGAAGAATGAAATCTCTATTGACATTTACCCTGATCATATGCGTTCTCTCTACCATTTGTGTACACAAGGCTAGAATATGGCATAATGCTGCTTCAGTCACATTTTAATTACTTACGTAATTTGTTTGAAAAGCAAAGAGAGAGAGAGAGAGAATAAGGCACAGACATTCAGAGACAGAGAGGCAGAGCTGCTATCTGCTAGTTGACTCCCCAAATGTTGGGAAGGGATGGGGCTGGACCAGGCTATAGGGAGGAGCCACAAACATAATCTGTGTCTCCCATGGGGATTTCAGGAACCCAAGTCTATTGGCCATCATCTACTGTTCCCTTCGGGTGCATTAGCAGGAAGCTAAAATAACAAATGGAGCTGGACTTGGACATAGTCACTCAGATATGGGATGTGGGTATCTTAAGCAGTGGCTTAACTGCTGTGCCAAAACATGGTGCCCCCCGTTTTATGACTGGTTCCAGGTCTGGCAGATGCATCCAAAGCTTGATCACTTGAGTCCAGAAGATTCACATCAGCATCTATGAGAAGTGACTCATTTGCCGGAGCTCTAACAAGCTCAGTCAGTGTTTTCTGGAAAGTGTAGGCGGCACAAATCCCCACTTTGGTAAAGAAAAGAAAGCCTTTTTCCTGAAAGATATTATGCATTTGGATTGCTCATCATGGATAAATCCAAGAAAACTGTTTAATGTAAATGCTTGTATTAGTCCATTTTTGTTACTACAACCATATGCTTGAAGCTGAGTAGCTCATGAAAACAGAAGGTTTATTCTGCTTGTGGCTTTGGAGGCTCAAAGTGCAAGACTAAAGGGGCAACGAGAAAGGGTATGGCTTGTTTGGGAGTTTAGCAAAGAGATGGCAACCCCCGAGGTTTGGCGGGGGGACGTGCAAGAGCCAGGAACCCAAGTGTCCCCTGCGGGTTCAGGGACGGCCCTTCCCGCTCTCCGGGCCTCCAGGGTTCCGAGCGTCCCCAGGCTGCGGTGGCTCCACCTTCACATGGCTCCTTCCCTCTGGGCCACATTTCCTCTGCTCACAAGACTACCAGCACATATTGGGCCACACCTGCCCTGTGGCCCCCTCAGGCCCGCCCTTCCTGATCTCTTGTCTCTTTCCTCCTCCGCTGGCGTCTGGAAGCTGCTCCCAGGGCACGCTGGGACTCTGCCACCCTGCTCCCCTTGCTTTCGTGCTTCCCGAGTGGGTGCTTCTGGTCATGAACCACGCGGCTCCAGACAGAATTCATCTTCTCCCTACCAAGGAGTCTGGGGCCCAGGACCAAATCAGCCCTGGAGGCAGCTTAGAGGAGTACCCCCTTCGCCTCGGCGACCCTAGCTGCCTCCATCTGCAGGGATGTTGGCATCCGGGTCTCTTTAGGAGGACGCTGGTCGCCAGTTAGGGGCCACCCTGATCCTGTTTTCCCTCATTTGACTTGCTCACACCCCTGCACACTCACAGGATCTTGGGCAGGGACCCAGGCTGTGGCAGACAGACCTGTGCCCGTCATAATGACCATGCCGGTTTACCAGAATCTGCTGCCAGCGCCCAGTGTCCATCCACCTTTCTGCTTCTGCTCTTCCTTGGAAGCAACAAATGATAACTCAAGGGCTTGGACCTTTGCACCCAGGAGGGAAACCCAGGAGTCCTCCTGGCTTTGGGCTGGCCCCGGCCTGGTTGTTTCAGACATTGGGCTGTGAGGCAGCGTATGGAAGACCTTTGTCTAGTCTCTCATTCTCTCTCCCCATCCCCACCCACCCACTACTTTCAAATAAAATGAAAACTTAAAATAAAAAAAAAAATGGCAGGGGGGAGCTTTTACACACTAAGGAAGTCTCCTGTTTTACCTCTGGAAAGATATTATGCATTTAGTAACAAATAGTACCAATGCACTCTTTGTCCTGTTCTTCTCTCCTCAGCCCTTGTCTGTTTATAAGGCCAGTCTCTTTGCTCAGCGAATCAGCCCATTTCTAAAGTCACAGATCAGAACACCTTTAAGCCCATTCCTAACGCTTTTATATTTTATTTTATTTTATTTTATTTTATTTTATTTTATTTTATTTTATTTTTGAGAACCTGCGGTTTCATGAGAGACTAAGGGTGCCTCCCTTCCCCTTAACAATGGCCTTTTCACATGACTTTCATTAGGCAATGAAATGTGTCTGTATTGTGCTAATTTTGAACTTACGGAATAACCAATAAAGCTACTGCCTGCAATTTCCATATAGGCACCGGTTAGAGTTCCATCTGCTCTGTTTCCAATCCAGTTCCCTGCTAATAGCTTAGGAAAAGCAGTCAAAGATGGCCCAAGTGATTAGGTCACTGCCGCTTGCTTGGGAAACCCAGGTGAAGCTCCTAGCTCCTGGCTTCCTGGTTCAGGGCCTGAGTATTGGGAACACTTGGGGAATGAACCAGCAGATAGAAGATTTCTCTCTGTCTCTCCTCTCTCCATAATGCTCACTTTCAAATAAATAAATAAATGTATCTTTAAAAAAAAACTTAGGATTTTTACAAATGCTACAGAGCAATGATGAAGTGAAACAAACGGAAGGCAAAGAAGGTTTGTCTGGAAAGATCTCAGGGTGTTCTAAGAGAATGTTAGAATTCACAGACATTTATACTTGAGGGTCACGTTCACACCCACCACACCACTTATCTTTGTATCCCAAATTTTCCACTATACGGATGTATCATGGTTTGTTCCATTCACCTCTCTTCCTTCATGTTTCTCATATGTTATTTTTACTGTTAGGACCAGCAATGGGCTGGGTAACTTTGTATTTAGCCTTAAGTGTTTAACTGAAGTCAGCAGTGTCCAGTGGAAATGCATTTTGTTTTCTTTGGATGGCTGGAGTCAGATTGCCTGGCACATCACCATCACTGCACGTCTCTGTTACAGCACACAGACACGCATGCTTGAGAGTGCTTCTCATTTATTTTCAGAACAACTTATGAGTAGACATCATTGTTATCTTTGTAACAGTAACTTGTCTAAGGTTATACACAGCAGAAACAGGATTCAAAATCAGGCAGTTTTGTTTCTTTCCCTTTCTGCTCATCAGTGGAGCATAGTGGTACCTACCTCATTGCTGGCCATTCTTGTGAAGGAAAAAAGCAGGTTTGCATAAAGGCCTTGCTGAAAAAACAGGCTCACACTTATATCTTGTAGAGAACGGCCTACACAGCAGACATGGGGAGACAAGCCAACTGTGAGTCAAGAGGGACAAGGCCAGTACCACTAATGCTAAGATAAAACGTCGACAAAACAGATAGTGCCAGCAACTGCGTTGTGATGTTCTGACAGCTCAAGGCTAACAGCTGGATCTTTGCTTCTGTATCTTCCCGCTTGCTTGCTCCCATGCCCTATTAAAGCTGATGATAAGAGAAATTTGGGGCTTAGCCATTGGAGAGAGATTTCAGCTGATGCCCTCTAGAGTAAATAAATGGTTATTTCCTTTCCACAAGTGGTTACTGAATCTCTGGTGATCTTATTTCCATAACACACGTCCTCTACATTTTAAGGGGATAATAGTTTAGAATGACCCACAGCACAGTTTTTAAAATATTTTTTGGTTGTAACAACTTTTCAACAAATAGCATGTACTTCTTTAAAAAGCTTTTATTTATGTATTTAATGCGGAGAGATACATGGATAATAAAGGAAAGTGAGAGAGAGAGAGAAAGAGAGAGAGAGAAATGTGTCCCAGTCTGCTGGTTCTACTTCCCAAATGCCCCAAAGGCCTGGTGCTGGGTGGGACCAAAGCCAAGATCTGGAAATTGGTTTAATTTCAAGTTTCCATTAAGAATTCAATTGTTTTTTTTATTAGGAATTCAACTGATTTCTTTATTCTTAGTTTTTCTTACTGCTTGATCTATTGCATCTCTCTTCAGTCCTTGCATTCTTAGTTATTTCTTTAATGTAAAGAAATCTCCTCTATAGTTTTATGGGAGCCTTTACAGTTAATTTTTGGTGGTGGTATAATTTGCCTTTTATACGTTGTTTATATTTGGGATGATCTTGTCTGTCCTTTTCCTAATCTCATTTTTTTCTGTTATCATGAATGTATTCATCAAGCCCTTTGCCTTGATTCAAACAGTGAAGGAAAGTCAAAGAGAAAGATCTTCCATCTGTTGGTCCACACCCAAATGGCTGCAACAATTAGAGCTGAACCAATCTAAAGCCAGGAACTGGGAGGTTCTTCTATGTCTCCCATGTGAGTACAGGGTCCCAAGGTTTTGGACCACCTTCTATTGTTTTCCCAGGCCACAAGCAGGGAGTTGGATCAGAACTGGAACCCATATGGAATGCCAACATTAGCCACTGAGCCATTGTGCTGCCCCCAATCCCAGTCTTTTTAATGACCAGCTTATTATGAATCTTAGTTGCATCCAAGATTGTAAGGTCACCAGACCTTGGTTTTTCTTTCTACATCACAGTATCCTAAAGAAGGGAACTGTAAAACATTTTTCTAGATTGTGTTTCTCCAAGACTCTCTCATCTGGAATGCAGAGGCTCTTCAACCTGTGAGTATCTGATGGTAGAAGTTGGTGCCTCCCTACGGCACCACTGATCTAGAAGGTCCTCATCCAGGACTGCATGTGGCAAACATCACAGCTGTTTGTAAATGTCAGGACACAAAATCTCATGATCTTCAAGCCAGCAGCATTTTCCTTTCCCATCTTGGTGTGCCAGGAACACACCTTCACATCATGGTGACAAGGACAGGAGGGCATTGGTTGAGATGAAGGATTATACATAACAGGCTAAAGGGTCAGGAAGGCAGGTGGCATTAGAGATTGCCTATAGACTCTTCCCACTTCTTTTACTTTTGTTCAACCCCAAGGAACGAAAATAAATCTTTATTTCCTTTTGAAATTTAAAAGTTTTATGACATTCTATGCAAATGAAATAATGTGCCACATATAGATGTTTGTTGTGAATTATGTACAGCGAGAAAGTAAATATTTTTGAACTCACCACTCAAAAGAATAATCAGAATACTACCAATGACATACCAGATCTCCAGCCAAAATGGAATCACTGGGACTGGATTTGTTCTCTCACCTGAAACAGAAGAAAAAAAATGCACATGACAAGCTAGACTGCAAAGCCACCTGGAGAGTGCAAGCTCCGAGGCCTGGAGTGGGTTCAGGAGAGGGGTTATGGGCATTTCTCTGATGGGCTGCAACTTCCACTGATGAGCACAAAACCAGGACTGGGAGCAGGCATGGCTGGATAGGCAGTGGCTCCTGCTGGCATGAATGTGTACTGGAGGGTGGAGTTGGTTGGGTTGAGTTAGGCTTCAAAGCCCAATGATGTATATGAGATCTCAATGGGATGTGAGACAGACTGGACCAGTCCACTACACATGCTGACAGGCACAGGAATCAGAGCTAGCGGCCAGTCCAGTGGGGTTATGGGGGTGGGGTCACTCTGAGCTACACCTCTTCTTATGGTACATGAGGGCCAAGCGTGTGTTGGGCAGGGCTAAGTCACAGCACCCATTGGTTGGCTAAGGATGGATAAGGCAGAACAAATTGATCAACTACCCCACTGAAACTTGACAGCAAATTTCTGGGCCAATGGAGACTCAGAGGCAGACTGACAGCCAGTAGACCTCGGGAAGACTTCCTCTTCCATGATCTTCAATATCAACAGCATCTCAGAACCACCCAAAACTCATGAACAGAACCCTCAGAAAATGCTCCACAATGAGAGGCTTGGCATTCCATCGGGTGGCAGTTCCCCAATCTCCGGGGTAATGTGGTGGTTGGGAAGCTGGGTGTGGTTTCTCCTCTTGTATCCTCCTCTCCCCCACATATAGGAAGCAGAAGAAGAAAATGTATCTACAAGGGTCTCACCTACTATCCCCTGATCCTCATCCCTTCCCACCCTGATCTACTATGTAAACATCATCAATAAAAAATTTTTAAAAAACCAGAAAGCAATGAAAATGCAAATTTTAAATTACCATTTGAGTTAGAAATAATGTATGAAGATATTATGCTTTATTTTGCTTCTTTTATTGCACTTCATAGATCACTTGCTTTTTTTTAAGAGAAGGTTTATGGCAGTCCTGAGCCCAGCAAGTCTCAATAACCTGTGCTCACTTCTCCCCATGTGTCCCATTTTGGTCATCCTGGCAATATTTCTGGCTGTCATTTCTGCTAGATCTTCATGGTGATCTCTGCTCACTCATATCCAATGCTCCTCTTGTCATTGAGGTAAAGATGGGTGTTCTAATTGCTCCACTAACTGACTCTTCTCCCCAAGCCTCTTTATTTCCACGACAAAACTCTTAGGCCAGTTAATAATCCTACAAGGTATTCAAAGGATAGAGAAATCACCCGATGTCTCACAGTAAATCAAATGCTAGAACTTATTAAGCTTCATGAGGAGGGCAAGATTGGCTGAAAGCCAGGCTTACATTGTGACAGCGAACCAAGTGGTGAATGCAAAGAAAATGTTTTAAAAATGCAAAGGAAATGTTCTTGGAGTAAACTAAAAATGCTAGTCCAGTGAAATAAGAAAAAGGGGAAACAGCTTTACTGCTGATGTGGAAAAAGTTGTAGTGTCTGGTTAAAAGATGAACCCAACCACAACATTGCCTCAAGACAAGGCACAACCCGAAACAGCAAGTGCTGGTATAGAAACTTCAGTTATCTAGAAAACTGAGCTAAGACAATTGGTAAAGGAGAAACCATCACCACGAGGTGGGTGACACCACCTTATGCAGGAGAAGAGGCTAACGAGGTGTGTTATAGCTAGAGAAAAGTCAGTGGCTGGCTCAGAGCTTTGGGGCAGACGGCCTGGTGAAGGGCTAATGTAGCTAGTGATTTTAATTTGGAAATTCTCACCTGCCGTGTCAACATCCTAGGGCTCTCAAGAATCATCAAAAATCTACAGTGCCTGTACTCCAATATGTAACAGAAGAATGTGGACAGCACGTCTATTTCAGGATGGTTAGCTGAGCAGGTTAAGGTCGCTATTATGATTTGCTGCTCAAAAGAAGATTCCTTTCACTGACAGTGTACCTGGTCGTTCAGGTATGTTAATGGGGACGTAAAAGTGAAATTAATATTATTTTTCTGTCTGTGAACACAGGGTCCACTCTGCTCTTATGAATCAAGGACTGAACTTTTCAGACTTGCTATTTAAAAAGTGTGTTTTGCAAGATAGTGGCTGCTATAGATAGAAATTTCTCTGATAAACCTTTTATAAAAGATTCATCACTCTCAATGCCAATAAGAATATTCTTAATTTAGGTAGAAGAGGTCAAAATATCAACATCAACAGCAGCCTGGAGACCCACAATAAAACTTCAGCAGATGAGGAATTTCTGCTTAGGGATGAGTGATTTTGTGAGACAGAATCTACTTTGGATGAAAATGCTTGAACATTGTTGGAACACAAACAAAGAACCGAAACATTGTGTAAATTTGGTTGCTAAAGGAACATCAAGATCTGAGAGGATCTGAAGGAAGTTTGATTGTGGGTTAACTGCTATCCGACAACAATGCTACAGGGAATTCTTTGCTGAAAAGAAGATGTCAGAAACTTAGTATTTTTATGAAAGTAGGAATTGGCATTATTTATAAGCCGAGTGTGAGTGCCAAGTACCAAGCTGGTTAATCCTTTTCAGGGGTTCTTCTCCAGACCTGGCCCTTCCCTCTCTCCTTCTCTACCTCTCTCTCTCTCTCTCTCTCTCTCTCTCTCTCTCTCTCACACACACACACACACACACACACACAATCACACTGCTGCTGAACAGTTGAGGGGGGCCTCTGCAGAACTCTGGAATTCTCTTTCTCTGGGCACCATTCTTCTTCCAGTTCTTGGAAAGCCGCTCGGGTTCATCTCCCATACTCCACTGTGCTCTGCCTTGTCCCCTCTCTCTGCACTACAGCCCACAGTCCCTCCTAGCACGCAGAGGAGAGCAGTCAGGGACTCACAGGGGTGACTGACGAATTCTGGTGCCTGACACCCACTCTTTGGACAAGTATTATTTCATATGCTGCTTTTCCTTTTTTCCCTTTTTTAAATTTTATTATTGATGATGTTTCCATATAACCATTAGGATAAAATCTTTTTTCTCACAAGAATGTCAAGGTTACATTGCCAAATATGCCACTTGAAATGCATGGGTGCTGCAGAGTAAAGAAAATATCCCTGAAGTGATTGATGAGGAGGGTTAAAAATGGGCATGAGGTTGGGGGTGAGGGAGGGTGGGAAGGACAGAGAAGCTGGGAGAATGGAGGGAGTGGTCTGAGCTTCAGGGTCCTCTGGCCAGCAGCCCTTCTCCCCCCTCAGAGTAAGCACCCAAGCAGCACTGGCCAGGGCCGGTTGTCACAAGTCTGTCAACAGCTGCCCCTGGCACAACTGCCCACTTATCGCATCTACCAGGCAAAGGGAAGCTCTCCCTACCCTGCCTCTCAGGCGTCCCTAACAAGGTTCTTAGTTCTCGAAACAGCACAAGCATGCACATGGTTACACCTGAAATGCTGTCGTTCATCTTTCGAAAGTGGCAACCGTCGCTTCCTTCAGTCCCTACTGACCCCTGCTGATTCTTGTGCCACAATGGAGAGGAGGCACCAGACCGGAGTGGTGCTGGGTGGTGTCTGGGCGTGGCAGAGCGTGGTTCCCGTCCCCTGCTACCCACAAGTGCTCCTACAGGCTGCTCTTGCAACAGCGACTGCATGCGCTTTCCTGGCACGGTCTCAGCACCTGTCACTTTCCACCTCTGACATCCTCACTGTTTCCTGAGGACGGCCAGCTGGACAAGGCCAGTCTTGGCTAGCTCCGGCTTCCCTGCTAAATGCGCTTTCAAAGAACGCTCTTTGGCTTTCGCTTCTCTGTTCCATCTTGTCTGTCCCTGAAAATTCTGTCGGTGGCATGGCCTCCGTGGGTGTCTGTGGCACCCAGGTGGGGTCACTGACCTCTTCCATGCCTTTGTGCTTTTGTTGGTAATCCTCGTCTTTATCCTCACTCTCCTGAGACCAGCAATTTCCTTCTCTTGGGGATCACCTGCAGTCCCATCTCAACCTTCTTCTTATCTTCTTCCCTGGCCTTCTGCTTTTCAGTTCAGAGCTGAGCGGCCATCTCTTCAGGGCTCCTAAGCTGCCTTGCCCAACTTTTGCAACCTCCTTGTCTCCCTTCTTTATGCATGCCATGGATCCAAGGGATGCTTGGGATGGAAACTTCCTTTCAACATTCCTCTAGGAGTAACAGAATTGTTGCCAAAGGCTGTGGAAAACTAACATAGATTATTTCCTGTAAAAACTCAATTTTCATATTTTTCGTCAAAGGTTTTAATGATGGCAATATATTTAAATTTTCTTTAAATTAAAAAAAATATTTGTAGTCAGAGTGACAGAGAGGGAGAGGGAGGGAAAGAGAGAGAGACAGAGACAGAGAGAGAGAGGGAGAGAGAGACAGAGACAGAGAGAGAGGGAGAGAGAGAGAGGGAGAGACAGAGAGAGAGAGGTCTTCTCTCCGTTTATTCATTCTCTCAATGCTGGTATCACTTGGTATTGGGGCTGGATGAAATCAGGGCCCAGAGTCTCTTGCGTGGGTGGCAGGAACCCAAGTACTAGGGCCTTCATCTGCTGCCTCCCAGGTGCCTTAACAGGTGGCAGGGTTGAAAGTGGAGGCAGGTCTCCACCTCAGGCAATCCGATATGACATGGGGTTGCCCTGAGTAGTAGCTTAACCTACTGCATCTCAATGCCTGCCCCAGCAAATCTATTTAGACTGTCTATAGATTTATAGATTAATGACTATCTGAGTGATATACATCATGTATCTGCATATACTCATATGTACATTCACTCATCAATTATTTCAATTTTGTAGGCTGGATGTGTCTACAAAATGACTCCTTTATGACAATATAACAGAATTTCTAAGAACTTTCCTATTGGTGAAAAGTTCTATTTTTAACGATTCATTTTATTATTATTTGAAAGATAAGGTTCAGTGAGACAGACAGAGATCCTGTATTTGCTGGTTTTCTCCCCAGATGGCCACAACTGCCCCAGCGGAACCACCCTGGAGCTTCTTCTAAAT